CTACATACAATAGATATACCAAAAAAAAAAAAAAAAAAACAATAGATATAGCCTTCAGCCTCATTATCTTAAAAAATCTCAATTTCCTTGAAAGTCTAGCGCCATCTCTTCATACTGCCTTTCCTGATTTCTCCTTATCCTTCGTTCTTCTTCTTTTTTTTTGCTCTTTTTTTTTTTTTTTCCATTTCTTCGCTCTCCTTTCTATCTTTACTAAATGCTTTTTTCTCCTAATTTGGTCTTGAACTTAACCCTATTATAGAATCACATTCGATTCGTTCTCCTCGTCCTTATTCCATTTCTCTTCCTTATCGTGTTTGTGCTTGTATTGCTTCTTTCACCTCCTCCTCCCTCCTCCACCTCCGTTTTCTTGTTCCTCCCTTCTCTTCTTCCTTCCTCTTCCCTCCTCCTTCCTCCTTCCTCCCTTCCTCCTCCCTCTCCCTCCTCCATCACCGCTTCTCCTTGCTCCTTCCCTCTTGCTCTTCCTTGTTTCTTCTTCCTCCTTGCTCGTCCTTCCTTCCTCTTCCCTCCTCCTTCCTCCTTCCTCCTTCCTCCCTTCCTCCCTTCCTCCATCACCTGCTCCCCCGTCCTCCTTCCCCCTTGCTCCTCCTTGCTCCTCCCTCCTTCCTCCTCCCTCCTCCCTTCTCCCTTCTCCCTCCTTCCTCCTTCCTCCCTCCTCCCTCCCACCTCCTTCCTCCCACCTTCTTCCTCCTTTGCCGGGAAGTCCCAGATTGGAACCGATGGCTGGGTCCCACTTGCGCAGTTTCTGGCGCGCTATGAAGACTTCGCGATGTCGTTCCCTTATCGACCAATTAGTCTTTTCCTGCAGTCTCCATCTCTCTCCTCCTCCTCCTACACGACCGCTGCCATCTCACCTTCCAGATTACATCTCACTGCAGAACGCGGCGCGAAGGGCGGACAATCTGAGGGGGAGGAGGAGGAGGAGGAGGAGGAGGAGGGGGGGGAGAGCAGGAGAGGAGAGGAGGGAGGGGGCAGGGAAAGAGGAGGGCAAACTAGGAGCGGGGAATGGATAAGGAGCAAGGAGCAGCAGGAGGAAGGAAGAGAAAAAGGAGGCAGCAGGGATTAGGGAGGAGGGAGGAAGGAGGAGAAGATACGAGGGGAAGGAGGAGGGAAGCAGGAAGGAGGAGGGCATACGAGAGGAAGGAGTAAGGAAGGAGGAGGAGAGTGGTGTAGTATGAATATTGCTGCCGCTAACCATGATGATGATGATGATGATGATGATGATGATGATGATGATTGCGCAAGAAATTGGTGATGACGAGACCTGAGGAGGTGGATGTTGTAGGAGAAGGATTGGGAGGAGGAGGAGGTGTGTGTCGTCGGAGGATGGGGAAGAGGAAAGAGGAGGCGTTGATTAAGTGGGGGAGTCGAGGCCTGCATTTTGAGATAGCATAGGTGGAGTACGGAACCTGTTGTAGAAAGATGATTGCTATACGTTGTGGAGGAGGGAGGAGGAG